AGAGAGAGAGAGAGAGAGAGAGAGAGAGAGAGAGAGAGAGAGAGAGAGAGAGAGAGGAAACCTACCTGTTTGTTGAAGATGTTGAAGTAAATGTTCAACAGATACCATATTGCAAACATGGATCCGAGCTGCAAGATCCTGACGCGCTCGTTGGCATCTGTCGACCCGTTTACGCCTTCGGGAACATCTGCTGATGATGATGATGATGATGACCTCAGCTTGAAGTCACATGATGATCTCTTATTGGCTGATTTATTTGAACTGATGTTAAAACATGGATTCGAAGAAAAAAAACGGCCGCCATTGTTATGGGATGATTTATTACAAGGTTGCAGAGAATGGTATGTTTTAATGGGACAGAATTTATTGTTGAAGGTTTGGAATAATGGATTGCAAGTGGAGATGGCTAATGTATAGAATGACATTTCTTGATTCTGCCTGCTCAAGAGAGGTTTTGAGGGGATTACGGATACATCATTGAGTCGACAAATCTTCTCCGAAAAAGGAAAATTTAATTTTTGTTCTTGAATATGAATTTTTAGTAGTTTTGATAGGGAAAAAAAGAAAATAAACCATAAACATGTGGTTTTGAACTCATGACATGCACTTATTACAGGTGAGCAGCAGACACGTATAATTAGAAAATCAAGATTGATTGTCCGACAAGAGATGATCTAGCTGTCGCCTGTCGGAATAAGTTAAACTGACCCAAGTTTGACTTCCCTTGCCAATGGTCGAGTTTGTCACACAGAAACTGTCCATTCAAGACTTCTGTGTTCTTTTTTTTTTTTTTAAATCTATCAAGGGTATTGTTCATTTCAAAATTGCCTGAGTTGAGAAACAAAAAACAACCATAAAAAATAATCATAAAATAAAAACAAATAAAAAATGGATTTTGCAATGAGTGGTGGTGGTGAATCATGAGGTACATTAAGAAAAAATGTATGGATGTAGGGATTTGTGCTCTGTCAGTCAAAGGAAAATGTGGCAATCAAAATTCCTAGAGATGGAAGATTTTTTGAAAATAAAAAAAAAAAAAAAAAAAAAAAAAAAAGTTAAACCTACGGTCAACCCGCCCGAGAGAACCCAAACCCGTATATCCACAATCTGGTTCTGATCAGGATCCGGGTCCGGGTCAGACCGAGACCGTTTTCATGATTCGTGACCAATTCAAACCAACTCGAAGAAATAAAGGCATATACACAACAATCAGGAACAATAAATCTAATCATGAGTGGCCAAGTATCAGTCATCTTCAACAATGTATATAAATCCCCTTATAGTTCAAAATGGAATGTATATATATATATATATATATATATATATATATACTGACAAACCATCAGATATCTCCCCGAAACCGTCAACGGTAAGCTTGATTGTAAAAGTTTAAAATGCATTCCACTGGAGGAAAAAAGTGTTCCCTGTACAATCTCCAACTTCCTCGTTTCTTCAAGACTCTATACTTACTTTCTCAATGGCGTCAAAACGGGTTCTCAAAAGGTTTAAACGAGTGCCGGAGCAACAAGTTTTGACTCGAGATTGCTTGCAACTGCATCGATGAATTCTTCAGTGTTCAAGTAAAACTCTCTCGAAACCCTGCACATAAAAAATTGAATATTAGAAAATAGTAATAAGTTATTCATTTGAGTATAGTGTAGCTCTCTCTGTCAAAGCGTGAAAAGTTTAGTAGAATTACGGGGTTGAAGAAAAGCACTTACTTTGGGCCGTGAATAAGAATAGCAAGATCTTTAGTCATTTTCCCAGACTCGACAGTCTCCATGCAAGCTGCTTCTAGCTTGTGAGCAAATTCTAACAGCTTTTCATTTCCGTCAAGCTTTGCCCTGACACAGAGATGTCGACATGCATTTGCATTATTTCGAGACGAAAAAAGAGATTCGAGCATGATGAGTCTAGGTTCTAGGACTTATAAATGAACAAGAGCAAACAACTAACCGATGTTCTAATCCTCGAGTCCAGGCAAATATGGAAGCAATACTGTTTGTGCTGGTTTCTTGTCCCTTCTCATGCTGCCTAAAATGACGTGTTACAGTCCCGTGAGCCGCCTCGGCTTCCAATGTCTTACCATCACCAGACAACTGCAAATCAGACAATGACAGGTGTATAATTTGTCAGAAAAACGACAAATATTCATGAACTAGATATTGTACATATGCACAAAAGTCAAAACCGGACTAACCAAAACAGAAGTCATGAGTCCAAGAGAACCAAATCCTGCAAAGACCAAACAAAATATCAGCCAATATTCCAACATTTCATCGGAGTTTGCAAAGCAAGAGCAGACGACTATTAATTAGACCAAACCTCAGAGGGTATAACCGTAATTTACCCAAAAACCGATCTCTAGAAATCGAAAGAACTTCTTTTGCTAATTGAAAGTTTCCTCAAATATTATAAAAAAATCCGCAAAATTTGTATAGTTAATAGCCATGATGAAATCATCACCTTGAGCAAGTAAATCACTCTGAACGTCTCCGTCGTAGTTTTTGCAGGCCCAAACATATCCACCTTCACTCTTCACCGCATAGGCCACCATGTCGTCAATCAACCGATGCTCATACCTACAAAATAAGCAAAAGAATATTCTATAAATATTCCAGGCAAAAACAAAGATATGCATAAGGAGCTTTTGTACATGACCAACGTAAAAGTTACCATATCGAATGCTCTTCAAACTTTGCCTTCCAATTTTCTTCATACACCTCCTGAAATATGTCCTTGAACCTGAAAAGAGTAAAAATACGTAACCATACTATTACGAGACGTATGTTCCTAGTCAAAATGATTAAGAGAAAAACTCCGCGGCATACAACAAAAACAAATATATCCAGATATATATATACATAAAATATATTACCTGCCATCGTATTTCTTAAGAATGGTATTTTTTGTGCTCAAGTAGAGTGGCCACCTTTTTGTTAACGCCATTGCCATCGATGATTCAGCAAATGCTCGAATAGACTATATAAATTAATAAAATAAGCACAAGAAACGAGATAAGGGAGACAGATATAGTTGGATATGCACATAACAAGAAGATAGTGAATTCGACGGTAGATCACTAAATGGACAAACCTGATCAATGTTATACATAGCAAGGGCAACACCGGGACCCTTAAAATCATACACATCCAGCTCTATGGGTTCACCCCCGTTTTCTGGCGCTGAGAAACACAGAGAAATAATTTCCTCATAAGCATGAGTTTATTGCAGAAGTAAATATTTGCGACGACACATTTCATTAAAAGAACTAATCAGCTAACCAAAAATCATTTTCAGCTTTCCAGGTCCTGGTATTATTGTGTCAGTGGCACGATACTGATCGCCGAAGGCATGTCGGCCAATACAAATGGGTTTTTTCCAGCCTGCAAAATCAGGTCGCAATAGATAATAAATATAATTTTTCAAATTGTTTCCCTTTCGTAAAAGAAGAATTGGAATATTACCAGGAACTAGTCTGGGAATATTCTGGCACAAGATAGGCTCGCGGAATACAGTTCCTAGAAAAAAAAAAAGAAAAATTAAAACTCAAAGAGTAAGATACATAACCTGCAATTACACGAGTAAAGTGGAAATTATGATTTCTTGAGAATGTATAGTTACAAACCATTTAATATGTTTCTGATTGTGCCATTGGGACTCCTCCACATATTTTTTAGTCCAAATTCCTTGACTCGGGCCTCATCTGAAACAACAAAATCAAACTTCATTACGTTTTCTAATGATAAATAGGTAACGAATGTAGTATTAAACCTCAAGTAGAATTAACCTGGAGTAATTGTAGCACATTTTATGGCAACATTGTACCTGAAAAGATAACAGATAGAGAGATTAAATTTTCTGACGACAATTACGATATATTTTTTAGTGAATCTTATTTTGTGTCATTTTGCAACGAGAATTTGAATCTTCATCTCTGATGATTTCCACGATGGACAATGGTAATTTTCACCATTTTTAAAATTCGCAACCAACATATTTGCCTCTCATTCACGGTCAAAATGATGTTAAAAAACAGTTGTTCCTAAAAAGTGCCTCTCATAATTAAATTGTTGCATGTGTAGAAGAAAAAAACAAGCTAGAATTTATCTTTTGACTTCAACCATAGTTCACAAGAGCATTCTAATATTTGTATTACTTTTCTACGGCATTCAGAAAGCAGCTTACAGAAAATGCACCATCAGAAACCTAACGAGCTGAACTTTTATTTTCATGAGCTCCTTCAAATTACAGATCAGCCATTAAAGTAACAACGAAGATATAATTTACATTAATCAACTAAATTTCAAAGCCATCTGATACATACAAAATAATTAACTACTTTACAAAATGTAAATCCACATACTTACTCGAGAGCCGCTTCTGCACTCTCTACCGTGACTTTATCATCGGTCGCGTCACGGTTCAATACCCCTAGGTCAAAATACTTTATATCCAATTCCAGATGTGGAAATATCAACTGCAGTCATATACAACAAATTGTAGGACTTAATCACCCAAAACAAAAAACCAACAATAAAACAATTAAAACATCGCAATTTGCTCGTAATTCAAACCTTATCTTTGATCATTTTCCATATAACTCGGGTCATTTCATCGCCTAAACATCACAAAAAACACGAACAACAAAAATATCAATATATCATTATCTAACTACAGAGTATTATCTGATTATCTGATTATTAATCATTTTTACCGTCCATTTCTACGATGGGGCTCTGCACTCGAACCTTCTCGGGAGCGGCGGCCACCGCCGCGAAGCAGCGAACGGAACCATTGGAGAAGCGAGTGGAGAGAGAAAGACGATTCGAGCAAAATATGTCACTGGAGAGTTTCGGATTGTGAGGAATTGACAATCTAGGGTTACTCCTCGCCGCAAGGAAAGACGGGGACGATAGAGCTGCGGTGGCGCCGATCGTCATGGTGGGAAGCAGGCGGAGGCGGAGTGCGAGCATTTGTTTTGACGGCGTTTGATTTTTATAAACACGTCGTTACAGCTGCAGCTGGGTTTTGGCAATTGGGCTCGGGTTTTATGGCCGGCGTTGTATATCGATTTTTTCTAATTGCGGTATTAAAATGAATATATAAAATTGTAATTATATTTTTTTTAATTGATTTTTCAAAAATAAATAATAAGAATAAAAAGAAGTGTTTGAAATTTGCATTTTCACATCATGGTTGAATTAAAATTCGAGTAAAATATTACAAATAGTTTAGTTATGAGATCATGGCAAGAGAAAATAAAAAGTTTTGTTTTGAACTTGCTTTGTTAATATAACAAGTTCAATTTTAACACATTTTCATTTTATAAGTTATGAAACTCCGCTAAAATTCGATTATAAAAAAAAAAAAAAACCGACTCGGTAAAAACGTCATAAATTTTTAGTTCGATAAATTAATATTTCGCTAAATTAATAGATTATTAGTCATAACTGTATTACTTTTGAGAGGTTAAATTAAACTGTACACAATTTCTTAATTTGAGATTTTTCGTAGAATTTTTTTGAACTTGATCTTTTAATATAACAAGTCATTTTTTTTTCCGGAGACCCTTATTATTTTTTTTGGGGTCACTTAATTTTAACATATGAAAGTATACGGTTAGAAAATTAATACAATTAGGACTAGCAAAATTTTATTAATTTAGTAAAATATTAAATTGTCGAGCTAATAGTTTACTAGGTTTTTACCATTTAATTTTATATAAAATCAATTTCAAAATTCGTGTGTTTAAGAGAGATAAATATATAATTCTCCATGTTCTCATTTTTTAATTTTTTTTTTCAAAACTCAGTTAGTTATTTAATTGTTGTTTCCTGTTTGTGTCTAAATGTTAAGAGTATTTGATGATTCTTGTTCTGGATTTTTTCTTATAGGGGGCCGAAGATACACTAAAATAATTAAATTTCGATGGTTCGAGACAGTAGCGCCGCGAAAAAATAAATTGTTTACTTCAATTACAAATACCTTTTTTCTACTTTTTATATAAAAAAATTATAGGAGTACAATACAAATGCAATAAATTATATATACATACATAGTAGTAACAAAATTAAAATTTGAGGGGGGCATTCCATCGTCTGACCCTATACTGACTTTCCCACTGGTTTTTACTTTCGTGAATAGATGAAGACGTGTCGATGTTAGTTGTATTTTGTATTTTAAATAACACAATTTTGAATTGCTTGTTGATTGACCGGTTAATTTTAAGTCGTCGTCGATTTTTTTTTATTTTGTTCTTGATTTGACGACTTTACTTGTATTCGGTTTTGTAGATGTCTCAAGAACTTATTGATGAAGATCTTCATGGTCTCTCGGAGCCTTCTCAAAACCTTCATGATGAAGATCAAGACTCGGGAAAAAATTGGTATTCCGTAGCCCGTGAGACGTGAGATTGATCCATTTTTTATGTCCATATAAAACAAAATGTGTAAATTTCTAAATTGAAGTCTTTTAAGAATGTGTTGTGGTAAACTGTATTTTTGTTCAACTTTAAACGCAAATTTTAAGAATCTAGTTGAAATATAATTTTATGCTATGTAGAATTTTTTTAAATTGAAGTAGCATTCTTAACTTTGCACTCTAACTATATTTCAGGTATTTCAGGCAAACTTCTGCCGGAATGCAGCGAATTTATCGGTTTACTATGAAGAACTTTGAACGCAAATTTTAAGAATCTAGTTGAAATATTTTAATTTGTGCTATGTAGAAAAATTCTAAATTGAAGTAGCATTCTTAACTTTGCACTTTAAAAAAATTTCAGGTATTTCAAGCAAACTTCAAACTGTAAATGCAAATTTTAAGAATCTAGTTCTATGAAATGGTGAGCCGTGAACCGTTGGGCCGGCCAGGCGGTTCACCCGGATTTAAAAAAAAATTCAAAAAAATTCAAAAAAGAAAAGCAAATAACGGCCGGTGAACCAGTATGAACCAGCCGTTATTTGTTTTTTTTTTGAATTCCCCCCCCCCCCAATTGTTCCTATAAATACCCTCACACCCCATTTTTTCACATCAAATTAAGTTAAATTCATTTTATTTATTTCCTTTTGTTTTTTTCCTATTTAAAAGTAATTATTTTAATTTATTTATCCATTAAGTATTTTTTTTAAATATATATATATAAATCAAATTTCTCGGGCTGACCGTGAACCGGCCCGAATAGGCCCGGAACCGGATTGAACCGGCGGGCTGACCCGGCCCGCCGAACGGTGCATATTACGGGCCGGTTCCGGTTCCGAAAAAATTGAACCGTGAACCGGTATGAACCGTGAACCAGTATGAACCGGCCCGAACCAGCCTGTGGCCGTGTCTACTGTAGTTTATTGTGTTTGGATTTTGAATGTGTTATGTGCTTATAGATCCCGTATGTTTGTATTTTGATCGTTTTGTTCATGTACACTATCCATTTCTTTTCATCCTTTTTTTATTTTTTTGAATCCTTGTATTAGCTCTGTTTATCTTTGAAGTTTTCTGAGTCTACTTCATTGTTTGTAAATATGGCTGAAAACCAAGTTGCATTGACTGAAGAAGATGATGTGATTAGTTCTTTGTCATCTTTGTCAGAAGTGATACAACTGAAGGTTTCTATATTATTTGCTTCAAAAATAAAAACTGGTGGTTGAATTAATTTATTTGTATTTATTGAATTGTCATCCTGCTTTTTCTAGATATTTGAAGATGCACTTCTAATATTAAGTGCCACTAAGAAGAACACTGTTCAATCCACAACTTGGAAGAATATGGTGTGAAAACAGTGATAATATACTGTTATACTGTTTTACAAACGCCTTCTTCCAGCCTACTTTAATGTTCTTTTCAGTGATACACAGTCGCAAATGATGTCGATGATCAAGTCCGGCAGTTCCTTTAAGCATGTTGAAAAACTCGGCCCTTCTCGGTTCCTATAACACACTTCTTCCAGTCGCTCAATTCAGTTGGTTCGAACAGATGTTGCTGGGCCTCGGGCCTACTTTAATGTTCTTTTCAGTGATACACAGTCGCAAATGATGTCGATGATCAAGTCCGGCAGTTCCTTTAAGCATGTTGAAACGGATATTGTTGCAACTCGGCTTTAAATATATATATATAAATCAAATTTCTCGGGCTGACCGTGAACCGGCCCGAATAGGCCCGGAACCGGATTGAACCGGCGGGCTGACCCGGCCCGCCGAACCGTGCATATTACGGGCCGGTTCCGGTTCCGAAAAAATTGAACCGTGAACCGGTATGAACCGTGAACCAGTATGAACCGGCCCGAACCAGCCTGTGGCCGTGTCTACTGTAGTTTATTGTGTTTGGATTTTGAATGTGTTATGTACTTATAGATCCCGTATGTTTGTATTTTGATCGTTTTGTTCATGTACACTATCCATTTCTTTTCATCCTTTTTTTATTTTTTTGAATCCTTGTATTAGCTCTGTTTATCTTTGAAGTTTTCTGAGTCTACTTCATTGTTTGTAAATATGGCTGAAAACCAAGTTGCATTGACTGAAGAAGATGATGTGATTAGTTCTTTGTCATCTTTGTCAGAAGTGATACAACTGAAGGTTTCTATATTATTTGCCTCAAAAATAAAAACTGGTGGTTGAATTAATTTATTTGTATTTATTGAATTGTCATCCTGCTTTTTTCTAGATATTTGAAGATGCACTTCTAATATTAAGTGCCACTAAGAAGAACACTGTTCAATCCACAACTTGGAAGAATATGGTGTGAAAACAGTGATAATATACTGTTATACTGTTTTACAAACGCCTTCTTCCAGCCTACTTTAATGTTCTTTTCAGTGATACACAGTCGCAAATGATGTCGATGATCAAGTCCGGCAGTTCCTTTAAGCATGTTGAAAAACTCGGCCTTTCTCGGTTCCTATAACACACTTCTTCCAGTCGCTCAATTCAGTTGGTTCGAACAGATGTTGCTGGGCCTCGGGCCTACTTTAATGTTCTTTTCAGTGATACACAGTCGCAAATGATGTCGATGATCAAGTCCGGCAGTTCCTTTAAGCATGTTGAAACGGATATTGTTGCAACTCGGCTTTAAATATATATATATAAATCAAATTTCTCGGGCTGACCGTGAACCGGCCCGAATAGGCCCGGAACCGGATTGAACCGGCGGGCTGACCCGGCCCGCCGAACCGTGCATATTACGGGCCGGTTCCGGTTCCGAAAAAATTGAACCGTGAACCGGTATGAACCGTGAACCAGTATGAACCGGCCCGAACCAGCCTGTGGCCGTGTCTACTGTAGTTTATTGTGTTTGGATTTTGAATGTGTTATGTACTTATAGATCCCGTATGTTTGTATTTTGATCGTTTTGTTCATGTACACTATCCATTTCTTTTCATCCTTTTTTTATTTTTTTGAATCCTTGTATTAGCTCTGTTTATCTTTGAAGTTTTCTGAGTCTACTTCATTGTTTGTAAATATGGCTGAAAACCAAGTTGCATTGACTGAAGAAGATGATGTGATTAGTTCTTTGTCATCTTTGTCAGAAGTGATACAACTGAAGGTTTCTATATTATTTGCTTCAAAAATAAAAACTGGTGGTTGAATTAATTTATTTGTATTTATTGAATTGTCATCCTGCTTTTTCTAGATATTTGAAGATGCACTTCTAATATTAAGTGCCACTAAGAAGAACACTGTTCAATCCACAACTTGGAAGAATATGGTGTGAAAACAGTGATAATATACTGTTATACTGTTTTACAAACGCCTTCTTCCAGCCTACTTTAATGTTCTTTTCAGTGATACACAGTCGCAAATGATGTCGATGATCAAGTCCGGCAGTTCCTTTAAGCATGTTGAAAAACTCGGTCTTTCTCGGTTCCTATAACACACTTCTTCCAGTCGCTCAATTCAGTTGGTTCGAACAGATGTTGCTGGGCCTCGGGCCTACTTTAATGTTCTTTTCAGTGATACACAGTCACAAATGATGTCGATGATCAAGTCCGGCAGTTCCTTTAAGCATGTTGAAACGGATATTGTTGCAACTCGGCTTTAAATATATATATATAAATCAAATTTCTCGGGCTGACCGT